AAGTTTTTAGATTTTTTGCATTTATAATCAAAAATATTTTGGTCAATATAAGTAAGACTGTTAAATTTTATGCATTGTATACTTATATTACCCTGGTAATCTAATGTATGCATTAGAACATATACTTAGTATAGGCATTTTTTAAAGAATGAGTGATAAATAATTTCAGATGGATATTACAAGCTTTCCTTCTCTCAACAGCAGTGGGTCATTCTGATCACCTGCTTGGGAGGTTTGTCTGAACCCCTCCCCATAGTTCCTCCCACTTACAGATCTTTGCTTGATCCTGAATTGAGAGGGACCAAAGATGATGTTCTCAGAATAAAGGCAGAGAGGCAAAGAAGAAAATCCAAAGGCATCTAGAGGTCTCTGACCTCCAGAAGCTGGCAGATCCTCAGTTGCTGGAAGCATACATGTCAGTCAAATGCAAAGAGGAGCCATAATTACTCTAAACTATTCAGTAGGAATTGGAGTAACTGCCAGAAAGGCTAGATGGGAATTCCAGACTTGTCACTTGGTTGTGGAGTTGCTATTTATCAAAAAATATTTGTTAAACTGGATCTATGTGCTAGACACTGATTAGGTTTGGGAAACAAGACGTACACAGTCCTGTTATTGTAGGCAAAGTATTTAATCCCTGAAGTGCAGGATCCTGATAATGGAAAAATAATTACATAATAACAGATTTGAAATTTCCTTCAATGTGCTTTGCAGTCATTATTGCTGTTACCAAATTAGTTGAAAAGGGATCATAAATGGAAAAGTATAATGTAGTTAAATAATATAAAGCATTTCTGCAAGAGCCTTTTGAACATAATTATACACTAAGCTTATGAACTTGAGCCTCTGAGGTTAATCCAAAATTATTAAATGCCCCCATTGTGTGTTGGTTTGTTGGCTACCTGTGCTTGAGAAAGCTTAGAGCTTACAAATGGATCGCTACCTACCCTTGTGAGCTCATCAATAATGTTCTGTTGCTCAATGACCTGAAGTTTCAGAAACTCTGTCTCTTGTTCTTCATTAGCTTGGTCGAGGTCATTTAGAGATTTTAATTTTTTCAAAGGTGGGTGAGATGTTATTTTTTCTCTCTGAAAAGGAAAAGAAGAAATTATAGGAGGAAACTTCAAAAATTGTAAAGTTCAGTCACTCACATGTATAGAAATCTGATGAGGGTCCAGCTAAATCTGAATACTGCTCAGGCAATTTTACATAAACCAACTAAAACACTGATGTGAATTTTACCTGTTATAATACATTGACATCACTGAGGATCTTTATACCTCTTTCTGAGGCTCTTTATCCCTGTCTGTTCAGGAGTAAATTAGGAAATCACTTGTCCATATACGATACAAGCTATGGTACCTATCTCCCAATTATCATACAAGTTTTTACAAGACAAGGTGTGCTGTCTGTGCAGGTTTGTAATCACATGTTAGTGAAATCTTCGAAGAAGTGTCTGTGGCTTAGGAGGCACATTAATGCCTTGCTTCTGCATTTCCAAGCTTTCGGAGAATGTGCACATTCCTGGAAGCACACCTACAGTTCTGTAATTTTAGAAACTCCGTGATATTCAAAGGCAGCAAGTTTATCTTGCTTACTTCCTTACAGCCTTCTTGCTTACATAAGGGCAAATCTAAATAGCAGTGTACTTCAAAACCAAGTGGAGAATAACAACAGTGAGCCGGGTATTGGAGTAATACAGAGAAGGAAGCTACAGTTTTGCAACGTCTGTGATACCCACCATTTCTGAATTCTCCTTGGTAACGGCTTTTAGTTTCTCTTCCATGCGCTGCAAAGACACCACCAGTTCATCGTTTCTTTTGGCGAGGCACTTGTTTCTTTCCAGGAGAGGTTTACATTGTTTTTCAGTCTCCCGCACACGTTTTAACTGGGAAGAAATACATTAAGATTTGTCTCTTCTAGTTGGGGGGATTTGGGGACCTGGGGAGTCAGTTGGTGGGAGGGAAAGCATCCCGGTCTGCTTTACTATTTTCCTCAGGACTATTAACATGCCTGTCTTCCATTTAACACATCGACTGCTTCCTTTTCAGTTTCTTCTCATGGGTTTTTATACTTGTGTTCATAACCCTGTATCCCTTGATTACCTTATAGTAGGTGCTGCGGAGATAGTGCTTTGGGAAATGCTCAGGAGGAGTAAGAGTTCTCTCCATTCCCTATTTAGAGAAATACCTCAGTTTCCCCACCATGCTCAGCCCCATTCTTAACCCTAGAATGACTGCTCACTGAGTCAGAGAGATAAAGCAGTCAGCTCATCTAAATTGCAGTCACTTGAATAATAACCAGGATCCCAACTGGAGCCTGTGCATCTCCAAAGCCTGTCTTTCCCTCAGAGTACTTGCTGAAATCTCCTGATTCGTATGGCACTAAGTCTCTTTATTGCTAAGGAAGTTTTACTGAACAGCTACAAGAAAAATAAGACAATGTACTTTTGAAACTGTACTAGCTGGGAGTGGTGGTGCATGCCTGTAATCCCAGCACTCGGGAGGCTGAGGCAGGAGGATCATTGTGAGTTCGAGAGCAGCCTGGGCTACAGAGTGAACTCAAGCCCAGCCTGAACTGCATAGCGAGACCCTGTCTCAAAAAAAAAAAAAAAAAAAAAAAAAAAAGAAGCTGTATTGATCCTTTTGTGCTTAAGAAAACTGTACCTAATTTTATAAAGTCCAGACAAAGTACAATTGCCTTGTTACTTACCCATACTAAGCTGTACGTTCTTGTTTGCTCAGTTTTGAACTAAGGCAAAGTTGTTCAGTCTCAATGCCTTTGACATTTTGGCCAGCTATTTACAAATATTTGCAGATACTTTGCTGTGCCTTAGAGAATGTTGAGGAATATCCCGGTGCCTCTGCTCGTTAGATGCCAATAACAACTTGTAAGCTGTGACAACCATTTTTCCACTTTAGAACCACTGGTCTAGATTTATGAACGTTACCTGGGGTAACTGTTAACAGTCTCCCAAAATTCTTGCTTAGGTGATACTTTTACAGATGATCTATCTGTATATAATGGATTTTCATATTAAAGTTTTCATAACCAGTTCTTGCTCTTTACACTAGTGATTTTGAATGAGAATTGTGCATTGAAGGAGCTCCTAAAGCAAGGAAAGGGGAAGAGTGTGCCAGAAATATCTAGAGTGTTTTAAAAAGCACCCCCTCCTGTAATTGGTAATCTATGATTGTTGTTGAGGTAAGAGACTTAGTTACATATGGACACCTGAAAAAGCTCCCTTTGTGACTCTGAAGCAGCACTCCCTCAGCTCCATCCCCACTGTAACTTGCAAGCACCCGTTTTATATCAAAGGTCAAAACTAGATATACTTTCATAAATAATGTGAATCATTCTCAGTTTTTAAGCGTCAGGTCCTGAATCATTAAATATCGAGTACATATAAGGACAAATGAAATATTCTACTAGTTCATTATTTTAACCTTTATCTCCTTTCTTGAAGTCAGTAAAATATTTTAAATATTTAAATTTTATTAGTGTATATTATTCACAGAAAATGCAAATAAGCACAAGAAAAAAGGGGTAGCTATAATTTTAACATAACAAAAGCAATAAACAAAATGTTCTTTTTTTGAAAGATGTGCCTTAAACAGAACAGAGAAAGACTGAAAGGGCATTTCTTCCTATCTATCATCTATCTGTCTATCTATCTATCTATCTATCTATCATCTATCTATGCGTATTAGTGTTTATATGTATGTATATATTTGTGCAAACATTAAAAGAAACAATCTGATGTAGTTTAACTAATAACAGATAGACTTTAAGTCACTAAGTCCTGGGGAACCTTGGGCTTGATCCCCAGTACTACACACGCACACACAGACACACATTAAAGAAAACATTTCATGACGATTAAAGGGTTCTTATGCCAAAAGCATACAACAAATATTAATTTTTATGCTTATGGTAAAATGTTTTCAAATATATGTAAAGCAAAATTGACAAAACTAATGTGTTGGGAGAACAAGGAGAAAAAACATCAGTAAAGAAAGTTTAAGTAAGTCTTAGAATGTACAGAAAGTTTTAAACAACATTTAAACTTGAATCAAACTGTAATAATTATAAAGTGTACATTCTTTTTCATTTAAATATGAAATACTTCTAAATTTGGTCTATGATCAAAATTGATCATATGTTGGGGCTGTAAAGCAAATGGCAACATACTCCAAAAGAATGAAGTAATACGAAGTATCTTCTCCAACTATGGTGGAATTAAGGGAGTAGTTAATAGTAAAATGATAATGCAAAAATCTCCAAATGCTTAGAAATTAACCCATGCACTTGCAAGTACACACAGATCAAAAAAGAAACTGCATGGCATTAGAAGAGATTTGGAATAAATGTACTACCTTATGACACACCAAAAGTGGTGGGAGGAGACCTAAAAAGCATGTCTAAATAAAAATATGGAAATAACTCCTTTGTATGAAGAACTACATTGAAAATGTAAAAATACAAGCCATGTAGGCCAGGGATATAGCTCAGCAGCACCGTGCCTGCCTGGCAAGTAAGAGGCCCTGAGTTCAATTCCTGGTACCAACCCCCTCAATAAAAAGAAAAAAATACGAGCCACAGACCAGGCTATTTTAAATACTCCACAGACAATGCTTAAAAGTCCTAATGTTAAATTTTAGAAAAATAAAGCCATCACAATAGAAAATGATTAAAAGGCTAAAGCAAATCTTAAAGCACATCCAAAAGGCCAGTAGATCTTTGAAAGGTTTGGAGCCCCATTATCAATGATAAAAATATTTTTCATAACCACCAAAATAGCTAAAACTAACAATTTCTTTGCATATTGGCAAAGATGTGGAGAAACTGCAACTTTTGCACATTGTTAGTGGGAATTTAAATTGTTATAACCACTTGAAACTCTAGTACCTACCCAAACTACACATTCTTTATGATCCACTAATTCCATTTTGTATATTCCTGCAAGAAATGGACATTTTTTTTTCACCAAAAACATGTAGAAATACTATTCTTTTTTGTTTTGTTTTCAGTTTTCCTTTCTTTCAGTTTTTGTATTAGTACACGTTTGTAGTACATAATGTTTAAATTACTTGTGGGGAATTAGTACATGTACATAATACATTTTAAATTTCTTTTTTATCCCCTTTCCCTCTCCTCCCTTCCATGTCCCTTTGTCTCTTTATCTCCTCCCCCTTTGAGAAAGAACTATCTCTCTACTTGCTACTGTCCATCTTCCATTTTGCTGTTTATATTTTGGATTTCTTACATAGAAGAAGTTATGTGATATTTAGCTTGTGTGTCTCATTTATTTAACTTAATGTTATGGTTTCAGGGTGCATCCATTTTACTACAAACAGCTTTAAGATGTTTAAAAAACACAAATATCCTTCCATGATAGAATAAATAAATGTACTGTGTGATAGGAATTGAATACTATGGAGCAATAAAGATGGACGAGTCCTACATACAAGACAACAATGCTGAGCGAAAGAAGCCAGACAGAAAGACTAAATATTGTGTGAAACCATTTACAAAGAACTTACAAAAAATAGTTTTAAACGTGTAGGCAGATAGAAGCTAACCCATGGCTATCTTTAGAAGACTGGTGAATGGGTGGGGTCCCAAGAAGGGAAGGCTCTGAGACCATGATAACTTTCCATGTGTTCACCTGGGTGGTGCTTGTGAATGTACCACTCTGTGAATATGTATTGAACTCTACCTTTATTGTGCATGGACTTTTCTTATTGTACTTCTATAACATAATTTATACTTTTATGACTTATACTTCCATAGCATTATACCTAAGAAAAAAACAAAAACATTCTGAGGTCTACTCACCAATTCATTTCGTTCATCTCCAAGCAGGGTATTCCTGTCCTCTAATTTTCTTATAGTGGCATTCAATTCAGCTATTCTTTTTTGATTTCTTCGTAAATCCTATGCATGAAAATTAAAATTAAAATAGGTAGCTCTTCAATAAATACCTTTTGCAAAGTTTTGGAATACTGCTTATAAAAATAGTAGGCTAAGTTCCCTTTATCTGGCTCATGAGGTGGCAGTAAAACGTTCTCTTATTCAGAAAATACTAAATACGTACCCTTTTTTAACACCTATATTTATCCCTTGAGCTGAAGGGCATGAGTAATTGAAATTGCACATGAATTCCATGTAGCAGGTATTCCCTGAAGCCCAGACTCATTGCAGGGGGAGTGGCAGAAGTTGGGTCAGTGCATCAGGGTTGTGTGCTGAGGCCAAGGTCATGCTGTGATTGCACAAGGCTCAAGAAGCATCCTTTTGTCATGGTTGCACTTCACTTCCCACGGCTTAGACAGCTGTCCTGCTATTGCCCTTAGCCACAGAGGGGACAGATTAGGAGCTATAGTACCTTCACATGTAGCATAAAAGGAATAGTTTATGGGGTAGGCTATTCTAAAGTGTTTTGCCCAGTGCAATCAGCTTCCTTGCCGGCAGAATTACCATCAATCATTTTACACACAGCCAAGGTTTAATTGTATGTTCTAGAGCCCACAGAACTATCATTATCATTATTATATGCTTACCAGTCTATCACCATTTTTCACTGTGAAAGTGCTATTCTGTTTATAGAACAGATTCACACACAGTATACACCTAGATTCATAATATCCAAGCAGATTTAGCAGAACAGGTAAAATTTAGGAAAGTCATAACTTATGCAGCATCATGGGATTAATATCAATATGTCAGTAACTAATATGGATTGAATGTTAACAGTGTCTGGGTATGGTGGTCAAGTATCACATATTTATTGTCTCTTTTGATGCTTAGATCAGCGTGGGTACTCTGAGCACTGAAATGGTTTGTCTAAGGTCACACAGTTAGTGGCAGACCCACAAGTTGAACCAAGGAGTCTGACTCTAAAGCCCGTTCTTCAAAGAATTAATGTTACACTGTAGGTTACATAAGCTACATCCTAGATCAGTGTACTTCCTATCTTCTACGGAGATGTATATAGATCTTGAAAACCAATTCATAAATTATTTATTACTTTGTTCTAAGTAGTACCTTGGAACTCTTTTTGGTTCCTAAATAATAAATTCTCAGTTTTTTAGCAGCTAAGGAATTTGAAAGTTATGAGATATGAGAGCCAGCTACATATAAAATGATTTCTCTTGCTACACTTCTGAAAATAATGTTTCTCATATAAAATGATGAAAATGCAGGGAAATGAATGGAAAGTTCAATCAGCCTGGAAGCTTTCACATGGTGATTACATAAGGTTTAGTGTTTTATATAGAATACATTTTGACCTTTACCAGTTTCTACCCCAATTGCTGCAGATGAAAACTGCCTTTACCAATTTCTACTCCAATTGCTCACACAAGGGAAAATTACCAGTCTTGGCAAAAGGCAAGCCTTTTCATTTAATTTATGATACCTGTAGTAGACTTAAGTTTGTATAAGTATCACTTGGCTAGAAAAATTCTACGAGGGAAAGAGATTTGCAATTCTCATATGATCGGCTAATGCAGCACTGACCACTTTGTTGTCTATGGTTTTAGAAAACCCTGTTCCCAAGGTACTGGCCATTTTAATAGTAGGAGGTAGAATTGATCTCTTTGTAGTAAACAGGAAAAGAGCTTAAGTGAAAAGTAAAGCTTGAGAACTAAATAAAAGATGACTCCTTCCGTCCGCCACCAGTGCGAATGGACTTACGGGACTGCTGCAGTGTTCAGAGCCGTCTCCTGCCCTTCCTGGGATCTCCCGCTTCGGACTGCTCATGTTACACTCAGCCTCCTTCACCAAGAAGAGCTGTTCATCCAAAGCCTCTTTCTGCAGCTGCAGTTTCTGTACATAACCTGTCTGGGTTTCCAGCTCCTTTTCCAGGGAAAAAATGATCCTGTCCTTGGCTTTGATTTCATCCATCTGAATAAATGAGACCCAGAACATTTTATTTAACAGTCCTGAGAAAATGCATTTTTACAATGATATGAGTTTAACTTCTGACTGATACATGCACATGGCAAGTATACTGAACTTACCATAAGATGGGACTCCTTTGTGTAATAAGGAGTTGCCCTAAGTTAATTAGGTGGCAAGGGGAGTGATTTTTGTCTCTATAGTGTATCCTGTATGGATGTTTTCATTCAATATATTATCTGAAATAACCCAAATCAGATAGATATGGGAGAGGATGATTACAGGTGATGAGTATTAATAAAGGTAGATACTGACTGTCACACTACAGTGTATCCCAGGACAATTTTTTGTTAGCTCTTCTTTGGGGAAATGAGCATTTGCATTTAATCCGAATAAGAGTTGCTATTGTTATCTGGTCATTTCTAAGTGAACAAAGTACAGAATTCCCACTTGCCTAATGATTTTCCAAGACTAAGATATTTGTATTCAGGCGGTGAATTTGGAGGAAAGTCCTTTCAAAGGTTCATGTTACTTATGTCTTTCCATTTCTGTCTGGATTTCAGGGCAGCCAGTTCTTAACAACCACTTTATCACTGTTGTCAGAAAATCATAGCTGGGACTAGAAGAGGAATGGAAAATACCTGCAAGTGCTAGCCACGGTTTTTTCTCCTATGTCTTTGGGATATATTTATTGATCCCAGCACTCATTTGTACTCAGTCCTGCATGGCCTCACAGTTATTTCTCAAGTAAGTGGCACAGACATTCTATACCAGTTGACCAGAGTTTCATTGGGCTGAAACCTTTTTGCTCTTTCGGGATGGGGGCTGATGAAGTGAGTATCTGGAAACAATCTTTGAAGACAGGATAGCCACTGGGTAAAAGCTTTCTTCTCATTTCATTATATTTCATGTGTACAATCAAACAGACAAGGAGAGGCCTTCAACACAAACATTATGCTGTTTTCTTCTTTCTAAAGATGTTTCTTGCCTTTAGCCAATCATTTTGTATGAAGCCATTTTTGCTATGCTCTTTAGTTTGGTGGAGGGGGAGAGAGGCATTTGGGACAGAAATTGTATCATTCTGTCACCTGTTTTCCATACATAAATGTCTGTGAGCTACTGATTCCAAGCCACATGATCAAGTTTTAGGTCGATTTTGGGAGGGCATGGGGCTCAGTCTGTATGATCCTGTAATATCCTCGATAATTCAGTGTTTTATCAAATGCTATTCTATTAATTTAGGAGAAAAACATCACTTTTGGTTTCTATCTCTTAGTAGAGGACTTGAGCCCAGTGTTATTCAGAGATGAGCAGTACATTTACTTATCAGATTTGTCATGTATTACGTATATGCTGTAGATCTGCATATTTCTATTGGATTCTTTGTGTGTGTGTGTGTGTGTGTTTTGAGATACGGTCGCTCTATGCAGTTTGGGCTGGCCTTGAGCTCACTTTGTAGCCCAGGCTGGCCTTGAATTTACAATGATCCTCCTGCCTCAGCCTCCCAAGTGCTGAGATTATAGGCATGTGCCACCACACATGGCTCTACTTGATCCTAGTGCACTCTGCCTACCTGTTCTTGCTAGGAACTCACCCTATTACTGTCTTTATAATCATTTTCATCACTATGGTTATTGTTTGTGTCTAGATGTCACCCAAAAGCCTCATGAACTTTTAGATGGAGCTTTTTTGGAGGCAGCTGAATCTAGAGTTTGTGACTGATTCATGGTTCAGTGCTGTGATTAAGGGTGCAGGAACAAGGATGGGTGATTGCTGGATCAGTCCATTGATTGGATTGGTACTGGCATAATCCCAGAAGTCTGGGTAGAAGGGGCAGAAAGAAGTTTATTTCCCCACCTCTCTTGTTGCTCATGGTATCTTCCACCACCATGAATGGTAAACTCTCTGCTATGTGTCACCCTGCCTTGGAACAATTGTTGACTGAACCTCTCTACAGAC